TATATATATATATATATGTATATATAAATATATAATGTTTCCGTATTTAATCAAAGTACATTTAGATATATGTTGACTAACGTCATTTAAATGATGTTATGTTAAAGTAAAAATTGCTCGCCTGTTGGAAAATGAATTAGTCGTCAGTTTTAATATTCATCGATTTTACGTCCTCTAACCTTCAATTCAAAATTTTATAACGTTTGCTACATGTTCAGCAGAGAGGAATAAGTAATTCGAGGACACACGAAAGGGCTGCCACTAGTGGTGTTTCTGTAAAACATTTCAGGAATGTCGGCAAAAAAGATTTCGGTTGCATAGATCAAGCATGTGCTGCCATGCATTTCGTCTTTCTCGACATTCGCTACGGTGACTAAATATAGGCGAAAAATTTGCCAATGAAAAAAATGAAAAATCTGATCGCCAATAACGATCCTATTTGGTCAATTTCGACAGTTCTCGCGTGTATATACGCGAATCTTCTGTGAGTCGCTTTTTATAACGACACGTTTTTATACTCGTATAATTCAGTAATTCGTACTCGTGTAGTCGTGACGAGATTTTATGTGAAGCGAACGCGTGATGATTTTCTATAACATTCTTTAAAATTCTTACGACTAAAGATTAATGTCTGATCGATTCATAATTATACATTTATTTTCAGTTTTCGTAGAAAACATGTAGAAAGAGTCTTGAAATAACATCAACTTTTCAGTCATTGTGCCTACCGGGTTTACAGGTCGCGACAGAACCAACGATGCCCTGTGTAACGCAACGTACTATATAAATCTTTTTTTTTCCGGTTATTCATGTGTTTCTCTCTCTCTCTCTCTCTCTCTCTCTCTTTCTCTCTCCCGCTTCTTCTTTATGTAAGAGGTTTTCACCTTTTCGTTTTGTTCGCTTTCCCCTTCTTTTCAATACCGTAAAATAATCGATGCACAAATATCAAAATCATTCGCAAAAATTGCTTATCATAGCTAATAATTCATTATTTTCATTATTAACGTCAGATATATTTTAAATAAATGCTGTATCTTTGGCGTGATTAACATTTCGCATTGTAAGTTTTCATTTTACGCGTGCAAACGTGTATTCTATTTCCTTCAAATTAAAGCATTCAGTAGCAGAATTGATTGATATACTGACGCCTAGGTGTCGCCTGAGGCATTTTTTCGATAATTTTTCATACCACGCGACCCTGATCGAGGTATCGAACCCTTATCTATGTGAGTTCCGACGTTTCAAACATCGTGACACTCGAGTATAAATAACTTGATACCTGGCCAACTTCACCGGATTGCTATATCTCTTTTACGTACATGTATATCGTAAATAAAGCTACCGATGACAAGTAGTATCGAGTTTTCTTATACCGTATTATATCGTATTGGAGAAATAATCATTTTTTCTTTTTATTTAATTTCCTTCTCTTTATTCGTAGGTGAGTAAATTTTCCGGATGTCATCTCGATATATTAGAAATATCGATTAGGAAAGAACGAGAATATAATCGAAATGTAAGTACTTTTGATCGATGATTTAATCGATTGGAAATACAAGTAAGAAACAGTGATTGATATTGAAATTAATTATTGCATGATAAAATATATGAATTTAGCTGTATAGCTATAGGAATTAGAGAGTTTCTTCTACACAATTTAATGAAATTATTCCACGTTATTCACGTCAGCAGTGTTATTGGATGATTATCATAAAATGAAGGATATTCAAATCACGGTAACAGCGACACACGGGAATTGGTAACCTGGATATGTTTCTATATTAATAATTCTATTTCACGATTAGATGGAACAAGTGAGCGAGTAACGTGGAGATGCCAATAACGAGAACACTAAGGAGATGTCGACCAGGACGATGAAATAAGTACGCGAGAAAGCAAGAGGTGGACCGATCGAAAACGTGAAAAGGGAACAACACGAGCCTTTCACGAATAAACTGGCTTTCTTCGTAACGTCGCATCCTATTACGTTCGAGGGTACGGATTCACGTTTGTTTTCATTTAGACGTAACAGAAACGAATTACGTCGTGAAAGCGCTCGCATAACACTCAGAATAAAACGTGTACCGGTATGTACGAACGGATGTTAAGTCAGTGCCGTGTATCTGTCCATAGCGGAGAAAGTAAACCGTTTCCTCTTCCTGGTTCGCGTAGATCGATTTTTCCATGACACGTTCATTGATAAGCTATGGCACGAACAGCGATTCCTAAATTTCGTTTTAAATATTTTAACGTATTTCGTTATCTCTTAATTTTATCTGCGATCCTTCGTGTTTAATCGAGACACGGTATTCTCCTATCTCCTCGATACATGGTGTTTTCGAGAAGAGGCACGGATTGAAATATTATCGTCGAATGTGTTTAAAATTACCTTGAACCTTGAATAACCGGATACTTTGGGTTCTCATTCTGGGCAGACGTTATTTGGCATCCACGGTATCCACGTTGACGAAATTTACAACTAAAGGTTACCTAGTCCATAATTAATATACATGCGTCAACAATAACCTTGGTCCTCCAAAAATTTCAAAAAGTTTTATCTATCATCCCGAATCACGTCAATCTCGTTTATTTATATCCTTGTGTGGACGCGTTAATGATATTACGAAAGACCCTGTCTATAATTGAATGCAATTCTCTAATGTGTCGAATAAATGAATAGCAAATGATTTAACAAATCTCAGACCGTTGCCTAATTCCTTTCCATTTCTTGCAGATTTTATTGCATTGTTACAAAATTCGAGACGAAACTAGTTCTTTGGAAACAAATACGTAAACGAGAGAGAGAGATTGCGAAGGGATAAGTGGTCGGAGAAAAGAATGCTGTAACACTTGTTGATTTTCAAAGTATTATTATCAGCACATGATAGTTTCGCATCCATCTTCACAAAGTAAGGATCAGACAAATCGTCAACAATTATAAATAAGAAAGAAAAAAAAGAAAAAAAAAGAAAAAGAAACGGACCTTGCAGGCCACCGGAGAGCCGCTTTTTCCACGGCGTTCTAGAAGCCAGTTCCGAAAATTAAAATGTAGTATCGTTCGTGTAATATAATTCGTAATACAGAGGTGATAACGAATAATCGTTACAATATTATAAAATATCACAACGTTACTATCTGCCGGGTGTTCGAAGTCAAGGACGTGCGCGAGAGGGTCAACGCGACTCATCCATTAAAGAAACGAAATTTGAATTACAAACAGCTCGAGATAATGTATATATAAAACAAACAAAAAAAAAGTGAAGAAAAAAGAAGAAAAGAAAGAAAAAAGGATGAACATTTAATAGCGAATTAGTGAATATCATTGATCACGTAATCTAGTACGTGATATACACATCGCTTTTATTCGTCGAAGTTTCAAGATTTAGTCTGCGACACGGTTAACGCGTCTTTGGAAGCATAAAGACGAATACGGCTGTCGTCGGGTTGCAAAACCCGGACCAGACTAATGAAATGAAACGGCTACACGCGCGTTTCTACGAAAACTAGTCCTTCGAAGTTGAAGGAGGACTCCTTTTCTTGCGGAGTGGAATATTATGGCGCGAGTCACACCGGCGAAACCACGTGCCCTCGCGACGTTCTCAACGTGACTTAGACCTCGATACACCTTGGCCAACGAAACGTAATATCCTCTGACCTGTATTTGTCGATTAGGACACGAGAAGATAAAAGGGTCGCTCGGTTGGACCCCAGCTTCGAGGTGAACGACGTCGCGTGGACGCTTCGTTTCAGGCAGAGGAATAAATCAACCAATCAGGTGGAACGAAAAATTACAGACAGGGAGAACGAAAGTAGAGTGTTGATCGCAACGCGTACAGATGCGGGGGCCGCGAGTCGCCGAGCGGTGTGCATTGTTTTAAATAAAAATCTTTTACCTATTTGTGACGTACGTTGAAAAAATAGTGCACGATGCACGCCGACCGGCTGACCCGTTTGCTCCTTTCTCCCATGAAAAACAAAACTGGCTGCCTTGGCGCGTGACCCGGGAACAGCGCGATGCAGTAATCGTATGAAAAGAGCATTAGGAGAAACATTAGGAAAATACTGCAGTGATGGGCGCAATGAAAAGAAACAAGTAGAAAAGAAAGAGCGAGCGGGGAAGAAGGACGAAAGGGAGGTTCGATAGAGGTACGGGCTCTTGATTACGAATTCCGTCCTTTGTCTATTAAATGGCAACGATTCGTCAATGTTGCGTTATTCATTCCTTATGCCTTAATTTGCCTTCTCTTGGGAAATAACATCACGGACAACTTGCAAGTAATGGGACATTTGAATTAACGACGTTGGACAGTATTAGTTAGAAGCAAATGTCAGCGCGATGATTTTGTAACATTCACGAAATATCGCTATTTGTACATTCGACCGACTCTTCTGTATGGGTGAGTAGCAAATGATTTTCTTCTCGAATTTACAATTTCAAAATGACTGCTTGAATAAAAACGGAACTGTTGCAGGTGAGCCCGTAATTATCGTCGACAAAGTAACAAAGGTAAGGAATCGTATACTTGTTTTGGAGCGAAAGCGGTTTTGTGCACACGATTACTGGCTTCACACTTGTCTCGATCATTTTCTTCCTGCTTTGTTTTATTCTGTTATTTATTCTGTTATTCTATTTGTGGAATCGAAGGCTGATCGCAGCCAAGGAGTAAAGAGCAACTTTTAAGTTCTTTCCTCGTTCTTCTTCTTTTACTTTTGCTTATCTTTCTAACGGTTTGTCTGTTCGTTTGTCTTTGCATCGCCGGAAGTATTCTCTGTTTCTCTCTCTCTCTCTCTCTCTCTCTCTCTCGCGCGCGCGCTCTCTTACTCGTTGAATTTCATTCACTCTTAATATATTCAGGCACCCTTATATACACAGAACGTTATTTCATCTTCTCATTTTTGCCATTTTTGTTCGCAGGCGACGTACGACAAACTTTAGGTGGCGCTGTCCGCGCGACGCCCGGTATGCTAGCAGTTACAGGTAATCCGAGTAATTGGGGAGAGGGGGGTGGAGGAGAACGAATGTATGTAACACCAGCCATTTACCTACGTAACAATTACTACCGCTCTATTTACAACGAATCACTAGTAATGCGTTCGCCGATTGCACCGGAAAACTGAAAAATCAAAGGCGAATTTTTCTTCCTCTCTTTCTTTTATCCATCGTCTCCATCTCAACGGGATCAACGGGATAACGGGGAAGGTAACGAGGGCGAGTGTACAATAATTAGAGTAATATCACGAAAAATCGTCCAGCCTCGAAAAATTAAATAATGTGGCACTTGGTGAATCTCGTTCCACCGATTCGAAGTGTCTAATAAAATGGAATATCTCCTCCCGCGGGAGGAAACTGCGATTCG